CGTGTTTTAGTATACTCAACGGTTTTCAATCTGATCGTCTGAATTGTCTTCAAGAATCGAAAGCAAGATCTAAAAGGTCAGGCAATCTAAAAGCGACCTCAATCTCACGCTTTCTCCCTATGCAGCCTCGATTGCGGGTCATTTAAGATTATCGCACAAAATTCATAACTGAATCAATTGATTAAGTTGTCAGATCCTCATACGTCGAAACCGACGGAGGAGTCCATTATATATATATATATATATATATATATATATATATATATATATATATATATAAATGTCAGGTAAGAATAGTTCTTCTACAGATACATTCTATCTGAAAATAATTTACATAATATCACTGATCATCGCAAAAGCAAGAGAAGCACAAAGCGGTTATAAGCTAATAGAGAAAAAACAGATCTACTCAAAGCGGAATAAATGAAAATCAGATATGAACGTCTCTAATATACATATATATATATATATATATATATATATATATATATATATACAACACAACAAAATCCAAAATTGCCTCATATGGTGGGGAATAGATCTATTTCAACTGACAAAACCTCGCTCACTATTATTCAACCCATTGTATAGACTGAGTTCGTGTCGGAATTAGGAATTTAACTTTGATAGTCGTCGAAAAATAGATACAGAGTTTAGCAATTTCTCTGGTTCAGTCAGACGAAATGCCTGAGACGGTGGTTAGGCGAGGGTGAAAGGTATTAGACTAAAACGGAATTGGTTTTATAAAATTCAACACGGATATTAAACTTATGATATTAAACTGGGGTTATATGAAGAATGAGGTGTTACTAAAAGCGAGACGAAAAGGGAGTTTTATAACAAATTTATATATATATATATATATATATATATATATATATATATATATATATATATATATATATATATATATATATATATATATATATATATAAAAGAACATTGAAGTCAACACTCAGAAGCGACAGACTGTTTCATATTAGATGCAATCGTCAGGCCTTTATATATATATATATGTAAAAGGCAGGATGTGTGTGTGTGTGTGTGTGTGTGTGTGTGTGTGTGTGTGTGTGTGTGTGTGTGTGTGCACGGCCGCAAATTTCGATGGTTGCACCAAAATTTACATGCACATGCTCCAAGTTAGCCGGAAGGCCAAGACCGACTTTGCATTTCCCAACTCCCATCGATAGTGGAAATAATCGCTTTTTTCATGCTTCTCCGGCAGTTTTCATGTAGTTTGCGGCCATTTTCTACTGGCCAGAGTGAGAGCCAGCAGCTGACTGACACGAATGTTAACTAGCATGCTAGCATGCAAAAAGATCGATATCTGCATTCGTCACAAGTGGGAAAAATTTACATCTGCATGGCACTTTACTCCAATTGGCTCATTTGCTTGCTTAAACTCAACGTTGATTCTGATTCCGCAGAACTGGGTTGGGTGTGAAAAAGTATTAGTTGTTAAGATTCTTTTTTCATTCGGTTTTTCCAGTTACGAGTCCTTTTTAAAGCTGATCGTTTTGTGTTCATTTAGTTTAGTTCTTTTTTCGTAACAGATTTAATGTTTAGTATAGAGCTTCGAAAAAATTCGCAGTGTGAGATAGGCAAGAAGTAAGGCATGTAGCAACATCAGTACGGCAAAGGGCATTCTTTTTAAAGGCAAGGAAGGGAAAAAATATTTTAAGTCAAGTGATAGCGATTGCTGTATGAGTCGGACGATTTTTGAATTTTGAATCAAGCACGGCAACGCCGGGCCATGCTAGTTATATATATATATATATATATATATATATATATATATATATATATCTTAAAAATACTTTTTCCAAATATAAATTATACATAAAAATAATATAAAAAAGATTAAACCTAAGTCATACTTAGATAATTTATATTAAATTTAAGTAAGAATATTTTTTAAATTATATATATTTAAAACAAAAAATATAATAAGATAAAATAAATCATACATTTTAACTTTAAAGATAAGTTAAATCAAGTTATATTAAAATAAATTATACAAAGTTATATTTTAAAAAAAACAGGGAAAAACCTTAAAAAAACTACTGTACTGTACTGCACACACACACACACACACACATATATATATATATATATATATATATATATATATATATATATATATATATATATACTGGAAATTGTACTAGAAAAAAATAAGTTTACTTGTGACTTCATCAGACTAAATTTCTTATGTTTGTATGAGTACACATGCGCATGACAAATGTATGCTGTAAATTTCAGAATTTTTTTTTTAATTCGGTTAGATGAAAAAAAAATTCTAAAATTCCCAGCATGCCTCGTTCGTGGCATGTGTAGTCTTACCAACATAACAAATACCCAGGACGGAGCACGCAGTATAACGTGGTTTTAATTATTTTTTACTGCTTATCAACCTGTATTTATATCAAAACCATATTTTGGATCGTGCGAACAATTCTATTTTTGCTAGTGAATATTGCAATGACAATTTCTTGGAGATAATTATTTTCAAGATTCAAGTTTTACTATTTAACCCACATTTTGGATATGAGGAAAGATGGATTCATCTAGTTCCAAAGGTGGTTAGCGCGTAAGTAAATGTAACAAATCAGTATTCGAAATCAGTTCTTCCTGGGTATGACGATAAACTACATCCAGCAGCAAGGCCAATGATCGTGAAATTGAAGGCTTTCAACAGCATAGAACTACCTCTTAATTGCGCTTGTTCCCACGTTCACACTAGCACCTGTTAGGGTCCCAGCTATAAGAAAAATGCAAGCTGGGGTCAAAATACCATGAAAGTATAAAATTAGATATTTATAGTAAGATTACCAGCAATATTTTCATAGTAAAAATGACCAGCAATACATTTACCAGCAATACATTTTTGTAAAAAATATTACGAATGCTCCCAAGAAAATTAAATTTCGGCATTAAATGACCAATAAGATGTTGATATGCCACTAAACAAACAAACAATATATATATTTCGCACTTCCCGTCTGTGGAACTCCCTTCCTCTTACTTGCTTCCCTGATAGCTCTAATCTCCAAATATTCAAATGCAATGAAATCTCCAGATGCCTTGATCTATTTCCTGTCCTTCTCTTCATTCCTTTCCTCAAACACCTCTCTTAACTCTTGCTCTCACTCTCTGTAACCTCTTAGGCGCTAGTGGCACTCCCGCTTTGCTTTGGGTGAAATGCTTAGTATATATATATATGATGAGCCCCAAATAGGA